AACCGATAAAAAACATGCCATATTCATAAGTTAATGAACACAATTTTGACATTCTATTTAATATACATACTTTAAAAAAATAATAATTTTCGAGTAGCCATAAAAGTGTACGATTTAAAAGAACTAATGTTAAACCTTTAAATATTGTATTATTTAAATCACAATAGTTTTTATGATAGAAGATTGAAGAATCAAGAATTATACAAGTGAAAAAACATGGTAAAACATAAGAATAATTTTTAATTGCATTTCTAGTAGGTACCCCACACTATATACATATAATAATATATTACAGTTCCATGGCAAAAATTTTACCCAAGTAAACTATATGTAATATGTATAGCAATAGCTGTATACTTAGGTACCGTAAATATACAAAATATTGTGTGTATATAGCTTAATGACTTGTTTATTGTTCATCGATCAATATTTTAATTTTTCGTTATTATTATTACTTTCCAAAGATATAACCCCAAGTCATGTTGCGTTGTGTTATTAAAAACACAATCAATACAATTTATATACATAAAATATAGATGCAAAAATAAGTAATACAATCGCATACATTTTATGATTAAAAATTTAAAAAAAATACTTAACAGATTGTACCTACTTACCTAACCTATGCATAAAATATTATGTTTAAGCCAAATTAAATAGGTAGGTATCAACGTTATTATATTATACCTTCGTCATAATATTTTATTATTAAATAAGTATTTAAATCTATGTTTATATGTACATAATCATATAATAAAGTGTTACAGTACAATAAACGAAAGTTGAATTATTGAATTACATTATATATATATATTGTGTATATACTATATTATGTATAATGTATATATTATATTATATATATAGTATAAAGGAGGTGATATATTTATCGAAGGATATTTACAATACACAATAACTAAAAAGTGTCTCTTGCGTTAAATGGATCATATTAATGTATTGTTGTAGACCCATAGTAAATACTGTCTTAGCGAATAAAAGGGAAAGAAACTTTCGATTTATATAATACGGTATTCATTATAATACAATTATTACTTACAGGATAATATTTAAAAAAAATACATTTAATATTTCGAACTATTACCATTTTTCAAAAAAAAAATATAGGTACTTTTTACTATTTATATCATCATCATTTTTATGTTATTTATACTTTATTGAATGCAGCAAACATTTTTAACTTCTCATTCCACAGAAGAATATTTGACGGATAATTTCGATACATAAAAATCAAAATTTCGAACTAGTATAGGTATAGTTAATTAGTTGCCTTGGGTATAACTTCTAAGTATAGTGTTAGGAAGTTGCATTGGGATGTTTTTGTGGGCTATTAGATTTATTGCCAAGTAAGATTGAAATTTGAAATACATTTCAAGACACTACAAGAAAAATATTAAAAGTGTATAGTGCATATTTTGTGATTTTTGTAGTTTTAAGGGCTAATAAGGGCATAATAATTTGTCTATTATGTATTTGCTTTGTTTCAGAAATTATGTTTTATATATTTAAAAATAAATGTATTTATTATAACATCTACGTACTTTTAAGAGTGTAACAATAAAGACCCATTAAATCAATTTAATGTTTAAAGTTTTATGAAATGTTTGTTTATAAAAAAATACGTTAATTTTTTAAAGCATATTTGTAATTTTTAAGCATGTAAATAGTAAATACATGAATATTTAGTGCTTTTTAAAATCATTAAGTTTTAAGTATTTAAAGTTTAGATGAGCAGATTTGACCAAAATTGTTCTGGTAATCCTGTCACTCCATTACAGTCCACTCCAATCATCAAAACTTGAATTACTTATAAGTTATAAGTACCTATTTATAACTAACTAACTGCTCATTAAAAATTTGGTGTCTTTAATTCAGGAAAACATTTTGTCCAAGAATATGAAATTAAAAATGAATGATTTCATTCCAAAAAGTTATACATTTGAATAATAGTTAATATTTTTTAAAATAATAATGAGTCTTATCCTTACGTTGAAAAATCACTCTGTATGCGTGTAGGTAGGTTACTATCTGTGCAATATTCATATGTATCTATACAAACATTTTTTTGAATGAGCCATTAAAAAAAGGATTAGAAAGTGAAGGTATAATATAAAAAAAAATATACATGCAAAAAACGCTTAGTCTTTGAATACAGACATTAAAGATTTCAAAACATTTTTTTTTCGTCCAAACATTTAACTGTTTTAATAATCTGCAGCCTTAAAAATACGAAATATTGTACGCCGAATGTATCTAATGCCAAATATCATATTATAGCTGCTACTGTGATACCATTATCTTTTGCACGATGTAATATTTTAATCTGAAGATGATGCATTTTCTTACTGTCTAACTTAAGTACTTGACATCATTATAAATATTGCACATCATATAGGATGATTACTTTAACTATAGTAATAACTGTTAACTCGAAAAGTATTAACTTTTTTGAAAATATTTTTTCACGTTTAAAGTTTTGACGAGCAGTGTAGTGGACCATAATTTTTCGGAGGTGACATGCTCTACTTAATTTTTTATTTATATAAATGTTATTACTTTCAGATAAATATTCAGCTTCATAATAACAATATGTTATCATTCAAAAAGTAAAAACTTTAACAATAGTAACGATGAAATAATTTTTATTCAAAAATGTTGTTTTGTAATGAATTTAAAGTACACAAAAAATACGTTTTGAGTTAATGGGTGTTTACTGTTAAATAATCACCCAGTATATTATACACATTACAGTATTACACACTGTCGTCGTTGCTATAAATAGTGGTCACATTTAATAATAAGATGAATTTACAAGGTGAAATCGATTAAAATCCTACTATATGGATACAAGTCTTATACGTTTAATGTGCGATACATGCCGTTAATAAATCGAACTTCGAAACTCTATAAATCGAAATATTCCCAGACAATACCTACATATTTTTAAACGGAAAACGAGTATTTTATGTTTCTATAATGGACGGTGAATGGCAATAATTACCGACGGACATGTTTTTCCATCATTAACAATATAAATATTTGTACCAAGTACCTACATTTCATTTTTAGTACCTATGTATAATTAAGAATGACGACATATCATTTTGGCAAACTTATCCGGTGATAGTTATGGTACAAAATACGAGTGCGTAGGCACACGTAATTATATATTAATTGTTCGGAACCATATAATGTACATTTATGTACCTACCTATGGTACAAAAATACGCAATCATTTGATATTTTTCGATCCGTTAGAAGTTAGCGAACACGCAGAATATTTACACAGATAGTACCCCCAAGTCCAGACTAATTAAATTTATATATGTATTCCATATTTCCTTGGTGACCGAAATATATAATATAATTGTTTTTTTGGTTCCTATATATTGCATCTAGATATTATATCGATTGAGTACATTTATTTATTTATTTTTTTTTTATTGAACAAAATTGTATTTACAATCTGTAATTACAATATCTATTACAATAAGTAAATGGGATGGGGATGATTAGCGGTAGGGGAGAAGTCACCCATTGATGACACCCCATAAATTATGTAATTTTGTCCAAATTTGAACTTAAAATGACTTGTGCTTATGTATTTTTTAGACTTTTTGGTAACAGAATTAACTACTGACGTGGAATCTTGTTTTAAATTTTCAATCCTTAGATATAAAAGTTGAACATTTTATAAATTTTTAACTACAAAATAATTATTTAATTTTAAATTTGATAAATTTTGTCAAAATTCGATCTTTAAATGCATATAAAAAAAAATTGTGCCTATGTATTTTTAATATTTTTCAACTGATATTGTAACAATATATCAGGAGCCTTGTATTAAATTTTTTACACTTTTTGGCCCAACAGATAAAACTTTATTGATATTTATAGAAAAAAAAACAAAAAAATTGAAAACTGACAATGTCCTTAAACAACCTAAAAAAAGTCAATTTATTTTCAAAATTTCATGTACCTATGGTCATTTATTTAAGAGTTGCACCAAAAACTTAAATCGATTTTTTCGAAAACAGATTTTGCGTACAAATTCCCGTTTTTCCTTAATTTGTCTTTTGTTTTTCAAGGCGCTTTTGAAAACTACTGGGAAATTTTTACTTTTGACTCCCCCCCAAGTACCAACTAGATTCACTTTCCTATCAGAAAAGATACTGTTGAAGAAAATCCAAGCACTTTTACTGTCCTAAAAGGTGATAACAGTCACAAAACTAAAAAAAATTTAAAAAAAAATACACATCATTGTAAAATCAATACATTCATCGTTCCACTCAGAATCTAAAATGACATTTTGTTTGTGGGCATAGATGTTGAGTCATTAAATTCATTAAACATAATGTTAATAATTAACACATTCAATATTAAAAACAAATTATTTCCAATCTTTTTTTTAAATAAAATAATGTATTGGGTAAGGTAGGTAAATTATATACAATGTATATTATACATGTTCTTATTGTTGGGAAGCGGGCTTTTAAATATATTTGCTTAGAGTAATATTTTATCCAATAATTATAATTTGAACTAACACGGTCACTGTAAGAAACTGCGTGTTTTAGTTTGATTTTATATATTTTTGAATAGATGTTAAATATTTTTTGAAAGTATTTATAAAATTATTTCAATTTTCGGTTTACAATAAAGGGTCATTGATGACAGTCAAATCGACTGTGAAATATTATGTTTACTTTTATATTGTTTACGTTTATCAAATCCCCGACACGAAAATATATTATATACTACGGTGTCGTTTTCGTTTCAGGTCTTTTCTAACACGACATGACATCTTGACGTCGTCTTGTCGTTTCAACCCGACGTAATATTTTAAAGGGAGAAAAGTGTTCCGACGATACAAACCGTATATAAACCTTTTTATAAATATGCGGTATGTCTACAGACACCGTCTGCAGTATCAGAAGACCGATGCAGACAGAAAAACATAATAATAATATAAAATGTGTGTTTACCTTGGATAAGGAAGAAGTGATGTGCGGCGGGGTGGGCGCTGGCGTGGGCTGTTGGCTCCCTCGACCACTGCTAGGCGACGGTGGTGGCGCCGAGTCGGGCGATGAGTCCTCCGAGAAAAGGGTCTCGTTGCCGCTATCCATGTTCAATACTCATAACCTGCAGCGGTTCTGGAATGTAACGAAAACAGAAATTTTTTTTAATTCATTTCTAGTTATAGGTACATTTAGGTATACAATGTGGTCCTGCAGTAGGTACAATATAAAATATTTTACATGCCGCGTGCTAGCGTTTCTTTTTTGTATAAAATTATTGTATGAGCTTGTTATAATAATATGTATGTATATACCCATTATACCCGTATGTTTAGTATACACATATATATATATATATATATATATATATTATGATAATGATTATAGCATATATAATATAGGAACGATGTAGATAGGTATTTACGACACGTCGCGTTGGCTACAGTGGCTATGGAATAAAAAAAAAACCGGCAGCGTAATGACTAAATGCGTACAATAATTGATGGGTACACGTGGAAAATTTGAATATTTTCGTTTATGGAGAATTCACGTTCGCCTTAAAACACTATTATGCCGCCTATCCTCCGATTGCCTACCGCCGCGGTCGTCGCCGGGATGCATTTTTTACCAAAAGTGTGTTATTGTCCGTCGCCGCAAGAATTCCTAGTATTCGTATAAGACATACCACTAACCTACTATATGTATATTATAGCTGATAATATAGTAGTTAAGTAGGTATAGTAATATAGTCTATATGGCGTGGAATGTCGTGTGATATACGTTACCAACGGAGTGACATAATATATTGGTATTAATATTATATTATATCCTCGTATTCAGACTTTTGATTTAGATACAAATCGTAGAGACTTTAACGCACCATCTGATAAAAAAAATCCTGAGAATTATTATAACGACTAGGCTGCTTCAAAAATCAGCTTTTGAATAATCAAGCAAATTAATTATTTATAAGAAGTTGCAATTATTGAGGTTTTTAAGTTAAAAATGATAAATTATAATTTAATTTTAAAAGTATAAATTAATAGGTACCTGTAGTTTATATTATAAATTATAATATTTCTATTTAAATTTTTCTTTGTTTGTATATATATATAAGAACTATTGCACACAGTCAGGCGTTAGCACGAGTCGCCGAAGATAGCACGAATCTATTATTAAAATTATTAGCCGACATCTAACCATATAACTTTTATATTATATACGCACGATTTATTGCTAATTGAAACAAATTAGAGATACACTTTACTTTCCAACTAAATTATTATGTGTCTCCGCGATATCGGCTAGAAAAAAGCGATATAGAATCTAGAATTGAGTATAAAACAATGAAAAAAAAAATTGAATATTTGATGACAAAACATAGTGGTTTATAAATATAAGGGTACGGTATACCTATTACGGAACCCGGCAACTATGGCCATTAGCTTTTGTATGAGTTACAGATATATTGCTGTAAGGGTTGGAATGGTATGGTTGGTACGGTGTTGGTTGGCAAATACATAAATGTGTAGCAAGGTTTTTGCCACTGTGGATCCAGGTGGTCACCCATCCGGGAACTAGTAGCAGCGGCCGTTACTTACTCTCAATCACGTTGCGTGATTGATTTCAGCCAATGAGCCACAAGAGTATTATATAATATGATATATTGATGTAAATATTAAATAATATAAAATATATTACAAACCCTTATATACACCTAATAATGTAATAACTGCAGTAGGCAGTGGTTATTGCAGTACCTATAATAATATATTTTATTATTATATTTATATGGATACCCAGTGGTGTATTGGTGAATCAATTTATGGGTATACGCACCTATATATAAATTCTTTAAAAAGTTTTCTCGCCCCGCTCGAAAAATCATTACACTTAATATTTAATAATATTTTATTACTTTAGTATAAACACTAGCCTTTCATGGGGTATATAGGAGGGGGTTCACCTTATATTCAAACCCCACCCTGAAATTAAATCCTTCATACGCCACTGTATGTAATATGTACCAAGTATCAGTATCTAACTTATAATTTTTTTTTAATTAATTCAATTCGTAAATATCATAAAGAATACAACTTTTTACTATCAACTTAAAAAAAAATTGTACAGTAAAAATGTAAAATAATGAACTTTACTAATAAAATAATAAACAACTTTAGATAATATACAGTATTTATTAGTCTATATTATCTATTAATCTATGTTGATAAGTGATAACATATCAAAATTTAAATATTATTATAAATAATTTTAACGGCAGTTTCCGATCGTCTTCACAAGAACCCGAAGTCGGGTAAAATTTAATCGAAATTCATGCGAGTACGGGACTATTTTTGGACAGTGTACTTAATGTCATAATAAAATATTATTGTATTAATTCGTTTATTATTATTATTATTTTTAACTTTTGTTTGGTGATAATATGGCTAAATTGTCTGCCATAAATTGGAAGCGTGCGTATACCCATAAGAGACTAATTTTTTTAAAGGTACACGCATAAATCCAAAAATATGGATCCGGGTATACGACGTATACCCACGTATACCCTCCAAACACCACTGTGTATACCGTAAAAAGATCGGTGGTTACAAGATAGGTGCACACACACGTTGAGATGGACATTATTTGGATCGATTGGAACGCATTTTCCCCGAGGCCGATAAGGTGAGAGGAGATATTAAATTATGATTAATTCGATTCCGCGCCATTGTACGTATAAGGCGCGCGCGCAAGTTGATGGACGTATATAATATATAATATCGCTATGGAACCGTTAGAATTATTAAATTATTTTTTCGGATATATCGTTCAACGAGTTAAAATCCACGTTGTTTCGTTTGAGGTGTATATAATAATAATGATAACAACAGCGCGCATATTCTATAGGTGCACCATATACAGTATATTATAGTATACGAATACACGATACACTGTAGTACTGCACCATGTGTTTTTGTTTGCGCATATAATATTTTGCCGAGAAAGCGGACCATCGTCGTTGTTTTATATACCCATATACTGTATAGTCTGTAATACCTATATAATAAATATACTATAATATAATATACCACAGTACCACACGCGAGGTAACCACGTACTGTTATAATAATATGGGTACGACCTATACATAATATAATATACGAGTATACTGCAACTACGTATTGTGCGAGCATATTACGCTCGCAGCGGTCCAAGTATATATATATATTATGTATAATAATGATTTAAATGGGTAGGTAGGCGAAAAGAATAATTCTACGACGTCAATAATCGTTTTCTTTCTTTATTTATTTGTTTCCCGTCCCATTATATTACCACTGGGCACGCAGAAATGACGTTTTCATTAGTGACAACAGTCAACAACTATAGGTAAAGGCATGTATTATACACAAAGATATGATATATTTATTTTTCGTACAAATAGATAACAGTTTTTTTTCTATAACGGGTCGAACACGCGTGCGGTCCATGTATGATTTAATTGTGCGCTGCGTAAACCTAATATACACTTTTACTGCCATGTTTTTTATTTTGCCATCATAACTTTTCTACAATAAGTCATCTATATAGTATACAATGTATGTTTGTCCATTCATCACTGGAAGTCACACTGTCACAGTCACTACCTAACCTCCATCATCATAGGAGTTTCGGAGTCACGTGTAAAATAGAAAATAAATAGAAGATCACCGACGAAATATGATCCAAACTTCCGAGCACTGTGACAGAAATTATATATTATGTTTAAGCATAATATTACTATTATACTATGTACATTAAATTATAGTTGTTCCATCAGTCGTCACTGACGACAGGAAAAAATAGAAGTTCCAATATCCAAAATAAGTATTATTATTTATTAAGTATATTATGTGTCTTATTGGTATACAAAATACAAAACAGTATATGTGTAGTGTGTACCTATCTATATACATGCATATTATATAAAATGCATGCTTCATATTATTATTATTTAATGGCCATACAGGCCATTGATGCCTTTTGCGCACTTCCATAAAAATTAACCACCTATCTCGGCTATTACATGATCCATTTGTATTGAATCGTCGATATCTGAGATATCCTATTTTTTTACCCTGTCTAACCTGCACCGCTAGCAAGGTCTTCCTCTTGTTGGATTTCAGATCAGGAAATTTCATATAAGACTTTCCTCACCCCACCAAACGCAGCCACCAGTGACCCAGCACACTCCAACCGTTTTCTTTTACGAGCAGTCCGATGTTTGGATTGCTGTACAACATTTCTAGATCATCATTGTCGTCACCATTCATCTCTCCCAATTTTATTTCGAACAGGTCCCGTGAATTTTCCGCAAAACTTCTCTTTCGAAGGTAAGTAATTTAAATACTTCTCCCTGTGTTATGACCCATGTCTTACATGCATATTGCATACTTTACTATCAGTCGCAGATAGCAAGTACCTAAACTGCAGTTTCTCTTTTTTATCTTTGGACAGTAGCCTAGATGAGCTGACTCAGCTGAGTATCGTGTTTATGGTCATATATGATTTGTTTTCAGTACTTACTCTTAACTGAATATCATAGAGCGTGTTGTGCCTATATGTTGACTCCTAGGTATTTAAAACTCATCAACTTGCTCAAATGAGTAGAGGCCTACTTTTAAACGTATATTATTGTACCAATGAATAACCGTATTTATATGTATACTTGTAAACATTTTATATTTTAAAATTGCCATCTTAAACATAGCAGAGTACTGAGTAATAAGTATAACAAGGTATTATATTATATTATACAATATACATCGATAATTATCTAAGCATATCATATATTTTAATGGTGTAGTGTTAGTAGTAATGTATATTAAGTACTATTGAGTACTGGGTTTTTAACGTATACTACGTAGTTGTACAATACACGGCGTATTATATTATACACCATTAGAATATCATCGTAAACGAGAAAAAGTATAAGTATGTATATATATACTTTTTATTGTATTCCCTCTACTATAATTACGCGCTTAATTTTTAAGAGTGTAGAACAATGATTACGTTGTCAAGAATAGTGTCATCGACTTACTATTTGGACATAACAATATTTAAAA